ACACACACACACACACACACACACACACACACACACCGAAAAGAGGCATGGCGCACAGTGCGCACCTTGCAGGGGTAGCGCGTCCCCATGCGCTGCACGCACGGCGCACCTCGTGCGCGCGTGCGCGCACATGCGCGCGCGGTGTCACCACGTGCATTCCGCACGGCGCACCGCACTGCATCGCGCACCGCTCCGGTGCACCACAAGTATGATTAGAAATGTTTTTTGAAAAAGAAATGTCGAAAAAGATTTTAATTAATTCTAAATTTCTAAAATATTTTTGAATTACAAAAAATTCAAAAAAGAATTAATTAAAATTATTTTCGAATTTCGAAAAAGAAATGCCTAGTGCGAGGCCACTGCCTCTATGAGCCCCATAAGCCCCCATTTCGCAGCCCGTCGGCCTCCCTAAGTGAAGGCAGGCTCGACGAGGCCCTCAGGGCCCTTTTCTGGCCACCACACAACTCAGGGAAATTCAGGCAGTTGCGCAGTGCCAGTTGGTTGAGTGAACCCAGGCCCTGGGCCGCCTGTGTGAATGTATGTGAAGCAGGCCCTGGGCTGGATAAGGGTACTGGGCCAAACACAGGCCAAAGGCAGTTGGGCACATGCAACCACCTCAAGCCCAAGGCCTGTTCTCGTCGTGCTGGGCCTCAGGCTACCGGGGCCTACTGGAAGCTTCCTGGGACTGGACGCAGGCAAGCCACTTCGATATAGCAAAGGGCCTGCCTCCTCATTCGGCATTTGGGTGCTGGCTGCATGCTGCGCAAGCGCTGCTGCGCTATTTGCTGGCTGGCGCCTACGCTCTCACGGGCGAGCAGGAAGGAGCGGGCAGCCATAGCTGAGCTGCTCCGCTGTGAGCTGGGTGTGGCGCAGGGTGGTCCTTGGGTGCTAGCGGCATCTGTGTGTTGGGGAACGAGGTTGTGAGTGTGGTGACAGACATACCTGGTGCTGGAAGCATGCGACATTGGTTTCTATATGCTCGTACTTCGGGAAAGCTGTTGACGTCATCTTTCGGCATCGTAGTGTAGGCTAGATAGGATCTGCCACATGTAGTCTGGGCGCCGAGCGCCAGATAGGATATCAACTCTGGTTCTTCGTTGATGATGATGGGACTATTTCAGCATTGTCAATTATGAACTCTTGGTGTGTTCTTATTTGGTGAATCTCGTGATGCAATTCTGCTGTTGGTTCGAGATCACGACTATCTGGACTCATGTGTATGATGCTGTTTGATTGCTGAAGTTTGCTATTGTTCATCTTCCTTGCAATTTGGTATCAGAGTTGTGGCACGTTCGCGCTCATCTGGCGCTTGTCTTCTGCCTGGTACGGTACATGCATGCGGTCTGCTTGGTGAGTTTGGTCGTAAGTGGTGTGTAGTGAGGAGGGCGGAGGCGAGTGAGTGGTGACCCAGGAGGTGAGGGGATCGCCAGGAAGGCTATATGGGAGTGATGTGGTCTGGACAGTGTGATGAGAACTATCTAATGTGCGATTGATGCTGAGGTGGACCGGCGAGATAATGCTGGTTGTGCCGATGCAGTGACTGGTCATCGCAATTGCCATTTGGTCATCTGGTGAGATTATCTCTGTGGTTGGGGGCAACCATTTGAGGTACGTTGCTCTTAACCTTATCTACCCTCTCCGACACTTCTTACCGTGAGGTTGTGTGTTCCTTCTTGAGAGTCCTCTCATCGTGAGGTGTCGAGTGCGCTCAACCTTGAGAGTCGGCAATGTTCACGTGGAGCATCTGGGAGAAGATGGGCGGAGCTTTCTGAAGGGCCCTGGACGAAGCATTGGGTCACGGTCACCATGCCAACCCACAGGGAGTAGATCACGCATGCCTTGCTGCTTGTCCTTTGTTCAGCTTGCTGCGCTGTTAGATGGGTGCTGTTGGGCAGGCCAGCCCTTGAGGGAGACGAGACCGGGCGTCTTTAAATAAGCACCGGAAGGGGAACCACTGGCTGTGATCGTCGTCCGGCTGCGACGTAAAGGAATTCCTGGAGTCACTTGGGGGCGGACGTTAAATTGCCTCTGGATCAGCCAATGGTTGTAAGGCTCGCTGCACGTGAGGATAATCCAGTGCAGGGCTGGCCAGCTCAGCAGATACTCGGGGCATAGGGGTGGGCCGGACACACACACCTTTAGACACGCAACGCTCTCCAGATTGCTCAGGGACGCTGACGTCAAGTGATACTTAGGGGAACTAAGGGAGGGGTAAATTCCAGGTGATAAGTTCGAGAAAATTCCACGCTGTCCTATCCACACAAATAATTCTATTTTTATGTTTTGATTAGTTAGGTGTACAGCCATTGACATCTGACAGACAACATTAGTTAGAACTGTTTATTATTCCTGGTGCTTCTGTTTGCGGACCAGTCAGACTAAAAATAGTTTTATTTGTAGGAATCTGACTTACCTGTTGACCTCAAGTGATATCTGCTCCGAAATAGCCACCATTTAATTGGTCTGTGCGCTATGCTGCGGTAGGTACCTAGAGTGCATTAGTGCAGATTGTGTACAGGGTTGTAGCTTATGAGCGACGAGGAGGACACAGGGGAGGACGACCGGAGGATCTTGCGATCAGCTAGACGCCCGATAGCCCACGTGTCCCTAGGACCGGAGGGTGATAGGATTCTGTTCCGCCAGCTTAGGGAGAGGCAGCAGAAGCAGAGGAGAGCTAGAGCAGCCGAGGCCAGCAGGGCTTTCTCTTGCGAGGCCACTGCTACAGCAGCCATGGCCACTTCCGCTATGGTCACTTCTGCGCACCAGACTTCCTAGGCCAGCAGTTCAGGTATCGTCGGGTCAACGGTCGCGCAGACCGTGAGTCAGTCCACTGGCGTTATGGCAAGCCAGGCAGCAGTGTTGACCCCAGAGGATGTCGCCATCCAGCAAGCAGCCCTGCAGGCACAGCTACAGCGGGCATTAGGAGAGAGAAAAGCGGAGAAGGAGAAGATGATTAGAAGACGAGCCAGGATGCAGCGGAGAGGGGCAGACATAGAGGAGTTAGAGACGATGGACCTGACGAACACGGATGATGATGTGAGGGTAGTTAGGAGGGCCCTGCTAGGAGTAATAGAGATGCAGGAGCATCAGACTACCATCCTTCAGGATATCCAGCAGAGCCTAGCCATTCTGGCAGGGCGTTCTCAGGCGGCACCATCACCACCCGGGCTTGGTGCCTGGCCCGTGGCATATCCTCCTTTTTCTGTTCCACCGGAGACAGGGGTATCCCCATATGTAGCCCCGTCATCGGTTGCGATCGTTTCCCTGGGCATGCCGCTGTCAGGAGGGGTATTAGTAGGGACTAGTTTGCAGGTTCCTGTTCAGACAGTGTTCACCCAAACTCCGTCGCAGGTTGCAGTCACCACGCAGCCTGTTGTCTCGCAGCCTGTGCAGCCGCAGGGCACACAGCCCCAGCAGCTAGCACAACAACCTGTATCACCGGGTCCACAACCCGGAGTGGTGCAGGGACCGAGACAACCACAGTGGGTTCCAAAGACGACCATCGCTGCTCCGAAACCCTTCACAGGGGACAAGAGAGGCGAAGACCTCGACACATGGTTGAGGTCAGTGCCAGTCTATGTCAGGTGTAAACTTACCTTGCCGCACGAAGAAGTGCTTGTGGTTGCTTCCTACCTAGAGGGTAGTGCAACAAGATGGTTGAGTGGTTGAGTGCAGCTCCAGGGATATGGTCATGACTTCCGCGCTTGGGCGGTCACCCAAAAATTGGAGGACTTCCTGAAGATGGTGGAAGAAAGGTGGCACGATTCTCAGGAGGCCCAAAGGGCTACTGATGCGATCCTGACACTGCACACGCGGCAGTTTAAGTCAGTAAGGGAAGCCACCGACGCTGTTGAGCGTCTGATCTGTGTCCCAGGGGTGCGCTATGACCCCCAGGTTCTGCTTACCTCGTACTTGAGATGCTTTTCTCAGCCTCTCAGGAACCAGTTGGCAAGTCAGGCCAACATCAATATGCACAACTTTCCTTCGTTCAGCAAGATGGCCCTAGACCTTGAGGCTAAGATAGGGCATGGACAGGCACCCACTACGGATGGAAGGAGAAAGACACTGCCTCCCAACTCGAAGCGAAGGGCCGCATTATGTTTGTCGACAATGATGGTTCAACCATCGAGTTAGACGGCAACTTCCAGGAGGGAGTAGGTTCAGAGGCAGGCAGCGCAGACGCTTCAGAGGGTGGAGTAGTCGTTGTCGTAGCTCAGAAAGGAAAGGCGACCGGTAGACGCCGCGGAGGTTCCCGGTCTAGGAGTCAAGTTGACCCCAACGCTCCCCCATGGGAGAAAGCGGGTCTTACAGAGGACGTGTGGAGAGATCGGTACTCACGGCAGGCCTGTATTCGTTGTGGTCAATATGGCTATGGCCAGTTCACGTGCCGCAACAAGAAGGTAACCGAAAAAATCCCGCCTACGATAGGGCAGGTATTGGGATCCTCTCAACCCGTTTGTAGCAATGTTGCCAGTACTTCAGGCAGTGCTCTGGGAAACACGTCGGGCCAGTAGGAATAGTAGCTGTTCCTGCTAGGGTCGAGGTGGTGGAGACGCCCTCACCATCTCGAGAGATGGCCCAAGCTACTGACTCCAGTGTCGTCCCGCAAACACATTCAGACTCATCGAGCCTCTATTCGATGAATGTGTTCGAGTCCTTAGAGGAGCTAGAGGTGGAGTGGTCTAGATCAGACATGCTAGCTTTTTGGACGGCCCTAGTCAAAGCCCTTAAGGGTGAGATGCTCGTCAACGAGGTTGTCATTGGCGGCCGCAAGGCCGGGGCCTATTATGACACTTGCTCGACTCGGAACTTTATCAGTCACGCGTGCGTTGAGAGGCTGCGTTTACAAGGGCGAGTGCAGCGCCTGAGTCGACCTGTGGAGTTGACTTGTGCCAACAAACAGCGCATGGTCGTCAATGACTACCTCCAGGATGTAGAGTGTTGTTTCCCGTACGCGGGAGGGGAATTGAGGCATCATGTCTCGTTCCTAGTGAGTGACGAGTTCCCCATGGATATGTTGTTAGGTATGTACTACCTCTCTGTGGCACAGCCCCAGTTTGACTGGGACCGAAAAGTGGTCAAACACACTTTGCCAGGTGGAGGGACCGCCAGATTACATAAGTTCAAAGCTAGTAGTCTAATTGAGTCCTATGGGTGCATGTGTGCGGCCGCGTTCTACAATTATTATAAGCAAAATCAGGAGGAGGGTATGTATTTAGTTTATGCCTCTGCTGCAGGCGAGCCGGTGAAAATGCCGCCGGAGATAGAGGGAGTAGTTGCTAAGTACCCTGATCTATTTCAAGAGCCGACAGGGGTTGTTGAGAGGGAGGTCGTCCACGCGATAGAGATTATCCCAGGGTCTAGTATCCCGAAGGGTAGGATCTATCGGATGTCTCTAGCCGAGCTCGATGAGTTTCGCCACCAACTCAAGGAACTCGTAGAGAAGGGTTGGATCCGGCCGACTGTCTCTCCTTATGGATCTCCAGTACTATTCGTACCTAAGAAGAAGGAGGGTACACTTAGGATGTGCATTGATTATAGGGGCCTCAATGCCATCACTATTAAGAACAGAGAGCCCCTACAGCGCATCGACGATTTGCTAGATAGAGTGCAAGGGTGTCGGTACTTCAGTAAGATAGATCTGAAGTCCGGGTACCATCAGATTGCAATCCGGCCCGAGGATCAACACAAAACCGCTTTTCAGACCAGGTACGGTCTGTACGAGTTTGTGGTGATGCCTTTCAGCCTTTGCAATGCTCCTGGCACCTTTCAGCACGCTATGAATCGGATATTCCATGACTACTTCGATAAGTTTGTCATCGTGTACCTCGATGACATACTTATTTTTAGTACGATTGTCGAGGAGCACGTTGCACATTTGGACAAAGTCCTCAGCCTCCTGCGACAGCACAAGTTCAAGATCAACGGTGAGAAGTGCGAGTTTGGCCGCACCCTTGTCTTGTACTTGGGTCATGAGATATCCGTGGAAGGGTTGAAGCCCGATGACGCGAAGGTGGCCAACATTCGTGATTGGCCACGTCCTCAGTTTGTGACTGAGATGAGATCTTTCTTAGGAATGACAGGCTACTATAGGACTTTCGTTAAGAACTATATCATAGTGGCCGCTCCTTTGACTGATCTGACCCGCCTTGACACCCCATGGGAGTGGACAGATGAGTGCGAGGCTGCCTTCAGACATCTGAAACATGCGTTGACGCACTACGAGGTCTTGAAACTTCCTGATCCTGACAAGCCGTTTGTAGTCACCACGGATGCCAGCCAATATGGCATTGGCGTTGTGCTCGCACAGCAGGAGGGGCCAAAGTTGAGGCCAGTCGAGTACATGTCTAAGAAAATGCCGTCTCAAAAGTTGGCAAAGTTAACCTATGAGAAGGAACTCTATGAGGTGTATAAGACACTGACCCATTGGAGGCACTATCTCCTTGGGAGGTTCTTCATCCTCAGGACTGATCATCAGACACTGAGATGGATGAGAACTCAGCCAGTACTTTCTGACGCTCTCAAGCGTTGGATCGAAGTCATTGAGCAATATGACTTTGACCCTCAATATATTAAAGGGGAGTACAACAAGGTTGCTGATGCCTTGTCGCGTAGACCTGACTTCTCAGGTGCGCTAATTACCTAGTTCGATCTGACAGACGATGTTACTCGCTCTTCGGTGGAAGCCTATCGCAAGGACCAGTTCATGTCTGAGATCATACGCAAACTTGAGGCGAAGGACAAGAAGACTTCAACCGAGTTTGAGTTGGTCAATGGCTTGTTGTTCCTTGAGAAGGCAGGGAATAAACGTCTTTGTATCCCGAATAGCGAGTCTTTGCGTAGTTTGTTTTTAGGCGAGTGTCATGATGCCACCGGCCATTTTGGGTGTAAGAAGACCGCAGCCAATCTGCTGCAGCGGTTCTGGTGGCCCACGATGATGCCAGATGCCCAGCTGTACGTGGAGACTTGTGAAGTTTGTCAAACGGACAAGCCACGTACTCAGGCTCCTCTTGGGCTTCTGAAGCCCCTTCCAATTCCGGAACGGCCTGGTGAGAGTTTGTCCATGGATTTCATGGATACTCTGATCACCAGCAAGAGTGGGATGCGTCACATCTTCGTCATCGTGGATAGATTTAGTAAGTATGCTAGGTTAGTAGCAATGCCGGAAACAGCAAAGACGGAGTATGTGATCCGAATGTTCAAAGAGAATTGGGTTAGAGACTTTGGTTTACCGAAGTCTATTGTCAGTGACAGGGATGTCCGGTTCACCAGCGAGTTGTGGAAGGCCGCTGCTGCAGAGCAGGGAACTCAGTTGCAGATGACTTTTGGGAATCACCTAGAGGCCAATGGACAGGCCGAGCAACTGAACCGCGTTGTACAACACCTGTTGAGGCACTACATTAAGCCCAACCAGGTGGACTGGGATGAGAAGCTTGCTCTCATCGCCAGTTTGTACAACAATGTTGTACACAGCGCCATGGGGGTAAGCCCGAACAGTTTGCTACTGACTTTCAAGCCTAGACTACCCTTGGATTTTCTCCTTCCTTAGAATCAGTCAACAGTTGCACCAGGTACATTAGAGTTTGCTTACCATGAACAGAAGATGCAACAGACTGTAGAACAGATCCAAAAGGCATAGGCGGCTATGATAGAATCTGTGAACAAACAACGCCGTGAGTCTTCATTTCAGGTTGGGGACAAAGTCTGGGTTAAGTCCTCAGAACTGGGACAGGAGCACGGTATCTCCCGCAAGCTCATGCCACAGTACTTTGGACCCTGGGAAGTCTTGGACATCGTTGGGACAGATCCGGATGGGCCATCTTATGTTATCCGGATCCCTGGTCATCTCCGTACTTACCCTGTCTTTCACGCCTCCAAGCAGGCACCTTTCAAAGAGACTGATCAGTTTCCATCTCGCCGCTCAATGCTGCCCCCAACCATGGACGGAGAGGTGGACATCGACGACATCGTGGATCACAGAGAGCTGCCGGTATCAAGACCAGCAGGCAGGGGACGTCCTCCGAAACCGAAGCTGAAGTACCGCGTTCGGTTCCGGCATTACACTGATCCGAAGGAGGACCGCTGGTTCACCGGGGAAGAACTCATGCAGACCGCTCCTCAAGTTGTATCCCAATACGAGAGATCTCTGCAGAAGGGAAAGCGCCCCATGGTTGAAGACTGAGCTTCTCAGAGGACTGTGGAAGCTTAGGAGGAGGGAATGTGACGCCACTGCCTCTATGAGCCCCATAAGGCCCCATTTCGCAGCCCGTTGGCCGCCCTAAGTGAAGGCAGGCTCGACGAGGCCCTCAGGGCCCTTTTTTGGCCACCACGCAACTCAAGGAAATTCAGGCAGTTGCGCAGCGCCAGTTGGTTGAGTGAACCCAGGCCCTGGGCCGCCTGTGTGAATGTATGTGAAGCAGGCCCTGGGCTGGATACGGGTAATGGGCCAAACACAGGCCAAAGGCAGTTGGGCACATGCAACCACCTCAAGCCCAAGGCCTGTTCTCATATCCAGCCCAGGGCCTGGATACGGGTGTTGGGCCTCAGGCTACCGGGGCCTACTGGAAGCTTCCTGGGACTGGACGCAGGCAGGCCACGTCGATATAGCAAAGGGCCTGCCTCCTCATTCGACATTCGGGTGCTGGCTGCATGCTGCGCTATTTGCTGGCTGGCGCCTACGCTCTCACGGGCGAGCAGGAAGGAGCGGGCAGCCATAGCCGAGCTGCTCCACTATGAGCTGGGTGTGGCGCAGGGTGGTCCTTGGGTGCTAGTGGCATCTGTGTGTTGGGGAACGAGGTTGTGAGTGTGGCGAGAGACGTACCTGGTGCTGGAAGCGTGCGACATTGGTCGCCATATTCTCGTACTTCGGGAAAGCTGTTGACGTCATCTTTCGGCATCGTAGTGTAGGCTAGATAGGATCTGCCATCTGTAGTCTGGGCGCCGAGCGCCAGATAGGATATCAACTCTGGTTCTTCGTTGATAATGATGGGACTATTTCAGCATTGTCAATTATGAACTCTTGGTGTGTTCTTATTTGGGGAATCTCGTGATGCAATTTTGTTGTTGGTTCGAGGTCACGACTATCTGGACTCATGTGTATGATGCTGTTTGATTGCTGAAGTTCGCTATTGCTCATCTTCCTTGCACGAGAAAGAATGATTAATCCTACGTATTTTGGAAAATTTTGAAAAGAAATTACTTTCGAGAAAGAAATGTCGAGAAAGATGGTTAATTGAGTATTTTCGAATTTACAAAAAAATCAAAATGGATTCTAAAAAATAATAATAATAATAAAATGAGTTTTGATGTAAATCGAGGGCGGACAGATCCTAACTATGATTGATTGGGTGGTAGCGTGGTAGGTAGGGCACAGGAACATTGATGATGATGATGATGACGGTGATAGGGGGGGAAACGTGGGGGGGAAAGTCGCACAGGG